GTGACGGCCGAGTTCTAATTATTCTGGCAACGAATTACGTTAACCAGCCACTGTCTAATGCTAAATAAGTCATGGACAGTCTACTGCTAAATCAGCTATGTGTGCCGCGAACAGACTTATCCGAAATCAGCCATGTGTACCATGAACAGGCACATGCTAAATCAGCCATGTGTACCATGAAAAAACAGTCGAACGCTAAATCAGCCATGTGTACCATGAACAGTCGAATGCTAAATCAGCCATGTGCACCATGAACAGTCGAGTGCTAAATCAGCCATGTGTACCATGAACAGTCGAACGCTAAATCAGCTATGTGTACCATGAACAGTCGAATGCTAAATCAGCCATGTGTACCATGAACAGCCTAATGCTAAATCAGCCATTTGTACCATGAACAGTCTAATGCTAAATCAGCCATGTGTACCATGAACAGTTGAATGCTAAATCAGCCATGTGTACCATGAACAGTCTAATGCTAAATCAGCCATGTGTACCATGAACAGTCGAAAGCTAAATCAGCCATGTGTACCATGAACAGTCTAATGCTAAATCAGCCATGTGTACCATGAACAGTTGAATGCTAAATCAGCCATGTGTACCATGAACAGGCGAACGCTAAATCAGCCATGTGTACCATGAACAGTCGAACGCTAAATCAGCCATGTGTACCATGAACAGTCGAAAGCTAAATCAGCCATGTGTACCTTGAACACTAATGCTAATCAGCCATGTGTACCATGAACAGTTGAATGCTAAATCAGCCATGTGTACCATGAACAGTCGAATGCTAAATCAGCCATGTGTACCATGAACAGTCGAATGCTAAATCAGCCATGTGTACCATGAACAGTCTAATGCTAAATCAGGCATGTGTACCGTGAACAGTCTAATGCTAAATCAGCCATGTTTACCTTGAACGGTCTAATGCAAATTCAGCCATGTGTACCATGAACAGTCGAATGCTAAATCAGCCATGTGTACCATGAATAGTCGAATGCTAAATCAGCCATGTCTACCATGAACAGTCGAATGCTAAATCAGGCATGTGTACCATGAACAGTCTAATGCTAAATCAGCCATGTGTACCATGAACAGTCTAATGCTAAATCAGCCATGTGTACCTTGAACGGTCTAATGCAAATTCAGCCATGTCAACCATGAACAGTCAAATGCTAAATCAGCCATGTGTACCATGAATAGTCGAATGCTAAATCAGCCATGTGTACCATGAACAGTCGAATGCTAAATCAGCCATGTGTACCATGAACAGTCTAATGCTAAATCAGCCATGTGTATCATGAACAGTCGAATGCTAAATCAGCCATGTGTACCATGAACAGTCGAATGCTAAATCAGCCATGTGTACCATGAACAGTCTAATGTTACGTCCGTCATGAATCGACAATATCGTGCGTGCAGAAAGGTGATGCGACAAGATGGATGCAGGTGATGTGACCTTGTCAAGCTCTAATATATGTCCTACGTGACGAAGAGTTATGCCTGCAGGCAAAATGATGTCCACCGTAAATGGGTTTTTGGAGCACAGTGATTTGTAAAATAGTGCTTCCTACACATGACAGAAATGCTTTGACAGATATGCACTGCATACATTTGAATAACACCGACTACATCTAGTTTCAATAGCAAAACGGAACACACAATACTATAGAAATACCGAACTAAATAGAGAACATAAACTCATTACATATGCTCCACACTTCCGATGCAGCGCCCTGAATGGAAGTTACAGGTTCCTGTGATGTAAGAGATATGTCCAGTTGGGCATTTCAAAAAGGGTAACGTAATCAAGCACCGGGGAGCCTGTGTCAAAGGCTTCACTCTTGCCAGCTATTATCAGACACGAGATATTCAGTCCTTTGAATGTCTTGCAGTCTTAATTGTTCCGAGTATTGTGTCGTCAACTAATGGATAAGAAAAAAATCAGCAAACTGCAATGCATCACAATAAACGTCAGTGGATTTCGCCTCTGACTAGACGTTCTTCTAGTTTAGTTTGTGTTCGGCGAACGTCTGTCTTCATCGAAAGTCGTCAAACTCTGTATTATACATGTAAAATGATAAAAGAAGGTACGAGCTTTTCTCTTGTTACCATCAGCCATCAATCTTCAGCAGGCGTTAAGCGAAGGGAAGAAGAACACGTATCGAACGACCGGTTTAAAGCGCTAATGTTTCTTCTCCCCCAATTCTGCCGATGGATATTTACATACTGCCATGGCTCCATTATGAAATTTGTCAACTTGTTTCACACTCCTTCCATACGATCTAGTGCTACAACAGCGGTATTTCCGTCTGGGTCAAGATAAACGCAGGAACACATTAATCCTGCTTCTTGCCTTCAGATGGCTTGGTCTCAGGCAAACAGGGAAATCTGCATAATTGTTGTATAAGGGTCCCCTATACAACACATCTTTCCATGTTCTTACGGAAGCCTCTTGATACCATAACACCAAACCTTGCACGTCATTCAGCTCGATAAATGTCAGTTTAGACGAGGGTCTTGAGAGGCATATATAATTTGGTATTCAAGTATATGGATGTCAACTTCTTACACAGAACGTTTCTGGGCTATTCCTTGCCCGTTCGTCATTCACCTGACGAAGGGACAAGGGCTAGCCCTGAAACGTTGTGTACACAATAAAGACGAAGTTGACATCCATAATGTTTTGTCTTTTAGTCAGTTTAGACGTTTCGAAATAATGAGAAAAGATAACTTGACTATGTAAGCCTTGCCTTGTTATTGAGAGTTAGATGACTGTCTGAAAAAGCGAGCATGGCAGATGTTTCTACACAGGCCATGTTGCTGATGATGCAGATGAAAATATTTCATCCATCTAAATGGTTTGTCGAACATAAAATTATCACTTAATTGTCATTAGCAGATTCCATTTGCAGGTGTTCACTTCATGCAAAACTACAACAAACGAGTAATTGTTGGTCCCTGACTAAGTATCCTTAATTTCTCAAACATAAAATACATCCCAGATTTATAGGGAATCAGTGATGACACCACACTTTAAAGTCACGGGTTCTTTGGCCTTCCTTATACGTTAAACTGATATTGTACTGTCCTGGTAGGGGAAACCCACGGGGATCCAAAGACTAATCCCAGGAAGCCAGTAAGTGACTGGCTGGGTGGTCAGGCTCGGCAAGTTGGACGATTGCATACGTGTTGCTTATCACCACATTGTCTAAACACCCGGGTTAGAATTGGTCATCAGAAACCAATGCTTGTCGTAAGAGGAGACTACCGGCATCGGTGGTCAGACTCACTGACTCGGCTGAGATTGACACCTCCACACCATTCCCTTTCCCGCCTGTAAACAAATCCCGACATCGGTTCGTATGAGCGTTAGCGCAATGATCCGTCAATAGCAGTTTTGTGAAACTCATTTCGTTATATATGAAATGAGCTACGTTTGTCTTGATGAGGTTCGACAAGGCTCAGAGTTGAAAAACATCATAGGGGACGTCTAACATCATTGATGAGTTAGCTTCTTTGAGAGGAAACATGTGTCGATGGCAAACCTAATTAAAATGACAGATCTCAGCAGCTGAACACTGTCCCTATCATGATCAACAGCTGAAACAGCTGTATGGTGAACAGTTACAAATGGCGTTTTAAATATATGTGACCAGACATTTAAGCATTTGTTAAGAACATTATCAAAATATCTTATACCCAAGAAAGGAAGAATGTGTTCCTTCGCAATTACGTTGTTTCTGTCCAGACCTCTAACCAAGCATTTACAGAATGTGACCCACACAAGCAAACTGTTTGAACAACGTGCTGCAAAATGTAAACTATGTGTACCTACACTTTTATTGCATTGGTAATGATTCAAGTAAAATATTTGCAATTACACATTTAAAGTATTGACGGACAATTAAAATACCTTTCAGAAAAGCCTTCAGCTTCTGACAAGTTTTGCAACCAAACATTAAATAGTTATGATATATTCAAACTATTGCAACCACACAATCAAATATATGTAATGAAATCAGTGAATTACAATCATTGGAGTAAAATATCTGACACAAATTTGAAGTATTGAAACCACGCAAATAAAGAGCCTGTTTCAGATTTGAAATATTTGCAATTGCATGGGCTTGTTTGAAAAATAATTTGCCATAAATTGTATTTATTTCGAAGAACTGCAGTAAAAGAATAATCATTGCATCTGCAAGGATAGTAGAATAGCTGGCATCATGGTGTTATGCTTCGCTATCTCGTTATGGTATTCGAAGATTGATGCGATATCAGTGGTAACTAGGATCAGTGCGTCATAGTTTAGTAACAATGTTAAGTCAGGTATCTAACGTAAGGAGTGGATCAGCTAAAATGTAATAAAACGATATGCGAATAACAGTATCACACTCTCAGTGAGAAGGGATGAAGGAACGCATACCAATATGAGGATGTGACACACATGAGTCAGTGATTCAGATTTAGTACAGATTCACACATTCACTCACACAGTGTACACGTTTCTAACACTGATAGAAAGTATGCATATCGTGTGTTTGTTTAACTGAACAAGAATGATTTTGTTTCGTTGAAACTTCTTCATTTGTGTCATTTATGTGATGGGTATACTACAGCCATGCAAGTACATAGTTCTTAAAACTAATGCAACATTTAATATATATGTTAAGGTAAGAATTAGCGAGTTAAGTTTATAGTCACATCGGCAGTATTTCAGTCATATCGCGACTAAAAATAGTTACAAATTCATGATAAAATACATAAAGTTTACAAACCTGAAGGACAGCAAAACCAACTAGAATATCACAGTATCAAGAACAGAAATTAGCATCTATCTCTACAATTGGATTTCAAATGAGGAAAATACAATTTAAAAACGGGCTGAGTATCGCCAGCAGCTGAAGGTAGATCGCCATGCTAGGGGCCATGGGAACTTACAGTTTAAGGTAAGAACATTTGTTACATGTGAACTAATATGAGATAATGAAACCCCTCACCTCTTATTAACTGAATTAGAAGTGAGTCCCAGGCTGCATGCTATCCGTGTTTAAGAGCAATATACGTCACTGTGCTGTCAGACTGAGATACCGAGGTCTTGTCCGTACGACAAAAAATGGAATGGCTTTATCCGAGCATGCAACACATGTCCTTATAGAGAGGAAGCTCACCATCACCTGCCTACACTGGCTAAGAGTGACTACAGAGAACTGGTGTTCGCTCAGTCACCATCCGGCATCCAGTTCAGCGATCAATAGAGCTCTAGTGACACCGCGGCGGGATTGGGGGAATGAAAATAACTCGCAAATAAGTGCGGATTTTATTTCCTTGTTCTAAATGCGTAACGACGGCCAATCAGACTTCGTAAGGTTCTTTGGTTGGTTGGTTTGTTGTTTGGCGCTGCACTCAACAATATTCCAGCTATATGGCATTGGTCTGCAAATAATCGAATCTGGACCAGACAATCCAGTGATGAACAGTGTAAACATCCTTCTACGCAACTGAGATACGATGACATGTGTCAACCAAGTCAGCGAGCCAGACCACCCGATTCCGTTAGTCTCCTCTTACGGCAAGCATGGGTTACTGAAGACCAATTCTAAGCCGGATCTTCATGGGTCACTTCGCCAGGTGTATGCAAGCAGCGAAGGCGTAATTGTTAAAGGTTACCATCAAACTCTGGTCCCAAGAGCTGATTTTCACAAAGCGAGTTTTACGTTATCGTCTTGTTGTACAGCGATAAAGTGTTTTATTTTTTGGCATGATCTGTTATTTGGTAGTTCTGACACTGGCGTCATGTGAAGGTGTCAAGGGTGTTGTGTTCAGATGAGGAGAAATCGAATTCAGTGAAACGGTCACGTGTTACTTCAGGTATTCCAACCTTTTGGTGCCGATCGCTGACTTCCTAACACGTATATATTCGTCCTGTATAGAAACATGAGTGAGTCGGATATATCAGCGACAGAAACGTGGCAACACATATTCCCACTATTCCTAACAGCATATATTTTTTTGTTTAGGAAATTCAATTTCATTGTGGTTTCTCCTTCTTTGTTCAATGTATCCGACGTATCGCAAACGGCGGTACTTCATGAGATCAGAAGTTTCCCTTCCCATAAGTGTATCCTTTCTGATATGGTACATGTATCCATCTTTAACGGATACATTTACGGACAAAAACGATGTATTTCTAAGAGTGAGTTAATAACGCATATGTGTATATGTGCTCATGGTATCGATAGGGAACATGTAACTCTCCATGAACGACGTGTAAAATATAATGAACTAAAAGCAATGTAACATAGTTGACTTTACTCGTCAGATTGTTTGCTGAAAAATGTCACTTTTATTCAGATGAATAGGAAAGCGAAAGAGTTTCTTCCATTTTAAAGAATGCAAGTGTCAACCTGAGTTATGGACATTCAAATCTGTTGATAGACTGTCTACGTACGATTCTTTATGATATTTATGATATTTTTCAACATGCAAGACATTAACCTGCTAAACAGTATGACAACTGACGCTTCCGTTTGTAACGTTATTCGACAGAACGCTGGCGATGTGTTTGGCTTAATACCCGTGAGATGTTCAATATACGTTTCAATCATACTTTTGCAAACTGTTCACATGGACAATTTCCAGAAATTGACGAAATGGTGTTAATGTTGGTAGTCTTCGAAACGCATTTGAGACCCAATACCCTAACTTGTTCAGATTGGGTATACCAAAGATTGTAAGGCAAGGTTATGATTGATGTTTGTACAAAATGCATGCCCGAGGTATCTGTAGCAGACCTCGGCAAAAGATAAATATATACATCATATAAGTATATAAGTGTTAACATAGCAATGCCATTTCCATTTCCCGTACCTTTTATATTGTATATTCAAACACGTGCATTTATATGCATAAACACAGGCGAGGTTTTACCCTGTTTTCAGATAAGTCCTGCAAAGAGTGACGCAGGTGTTTCAAGAGTCTTCTTTTAAACGTGGCTGTGAGTTAGAGTGAGTGAGTAAGTGAGTGAGTTTAGTTTTACGCCACTTTTAGCAATATTCCAACAATATTACGGCAGGGGACACCAGAAATGGGCTTTGTACACATTGTACCCATGTGGGGAATCGAACCAGAGCCTTCGGTGTGACGAACGAAAGCTTTAACCAATAGGCTACCTCACCGCCCCAGTGGCTAAAGGCCGAATACCTTAGACCGAAAGCTAAATTGTGAAACACGAGTTTCATTAGCAAACAAAACAGGAATTAATTCTGATTTTACGACACATCGCTTATTGCCTCAGTACATGTATGTTGTTCTGAAACTATCTGCCGTTTGATTACAACCTTGAATTCCCAAAAGGTGAAGGATTTACTTAACGTTTTACGATCTCACAAAATGTGTTGGTTGTGTTTGTTTTCCAATGCCGCACTCAGCAATATTCCAACTGTATGACGGCGATCTGTCAGACAATCCAGTGATCAACAGCATGAGCATAGATCTAACAGTTGTGAAACGATGACATTTGTCAACAAGCCAGACCACCCACCCGATCCCATTAGTCCCCTCTTACGACAAGTATGGGTTACTGAAAACCAATTCTACCCTTTCTTTATAATCTCGAAACTCTATAATCACTGAACTATGAAGTTAGGATGAGTTATCCGGACACCAGTCGTAACGGACAACCCTCAAGCTGGTGTATGTACAGTATACGCTGTACAACTTCAGTAAACAACAATATAAGTTGTTCACTGGTCACAAGGGGGGCATGGGTTGATGTACCCTCGATGTTTGTTTATGTTCCCTGAGCCCGATGGGCCCCGAGGGACCAGTGAACAACGTATTTATCTTACCGAACACCTTAATGTTAATTTTGAATTGTTTGAAGCACGGGTACAAATCTTTTTGTAGCCATCGCTAGATTTTGATGACAAGAAAAACAGATTTAGAGTTATCTCCCTTCCATCGATATGCATTCGCAAAACATCGGTAATTTCCGTACATCATACGTGTTTCACTGCTATTCGAGTTAAAGAATTACTACCGTGAAGTACCAAATGAGTTGCCATTGACAGCGTGGTACATTGAAATGTTACTCGCTTATAAGCGGGGTACATTGAAAATAATAGAAGAGCGCTCAGCCAAGCAGAAAGCGACATTTATGTGAGTGAGTGAGTGAGTGAGTTAATATTTATCGTCACATCGGCAATATTTCAGCCATATCGTGACGAGAACAACTTATAATTATATTAAATATCAATAAAGTTAGAAATTAAAAACCTGTTGACGAAGAACAGTAAAACTACTAGTGTATCACAGATATCCATTTAAAACTAGTAACTAAATCTAAAATATTTCAACTATAAATGACAATACAATATAAAAACGGGCTATAGATTGCCAACGACGAAAGGTAGATCGCCATACTAGGGACCATGGGGACTTACAGTACATTTGCTTCTTGCATGGGACCTAGCTGGATTTACATCATCCCTTCAGCTGGTAGCAATTTAGACAAATCTAGCCATATATTTAAAAAGACACATATTCTACGATTAAAAATAGTGGAAAGTTTGAATTTACTTTGAATGTTTGTGGACTTACCTACCCTCTCAGAAGTACAATAATTTTACAATACTTTAACCCCCTTTGAGGATACAGCCACTAACAATCTGAGTTACTAATTCAAACTTCCAATCATAAATATTTATCTACTTACAAATCATTTATCAAATCTAATTATTTTAAATATGCAATAATTAAATGAGAACTGATATTATTAAAAAGATCCTTCATACTTCGTGATTTGAAATCGTTATCCCTTGTGATGGAATATTGAACACAATCACGCAGGGCATGCTTGACCGTGATTCTTTCATCACAAGGGATGCAAAACGGAGGATCTTTACCTTTCAATAAGTATTCGTGTGTATACCGTGTATGGCCAATGCGACATCGTTGCATAATGACCTCTTCAAATCTGGACTGACAACCCAAGTAAGTGTAACCAGTATAGGGTTTTATTGCATGTAATTTATTTATACCTACTTGGGTGTCCCACTTCTTCTGCATCAGAAATTCGGATGTAGGTTCTTATGCTAGCTTTGTAATCAGAGTATGGGATAAGAAGTGGTGTCACAGATTTGAGGAGTGGTGCCTTAGCAGCAAGATCAGCCATTGTGTTCCCAGAAATGCAAACGTGGCTGGGTAACCAACAAAAGACGATGTCGCATTGGCCAGTAGCAAGCTCATTATACAATTCAATAATTTCTAATAAAAGTGGATGTTTACAAGAAAACAAATAAATGGCCTGAAGGCATGAATGAGAATCGGAAAAGAATATGTATTGTTTATGTTTAGTGTGTTTATTAATATGTTTAAGAGCCGTTAAGATGGCGTTTGCGTCTGCTGTAACAATAGAGCTGTTATCCGGTATTCTAGAAGATATTGTTCTGGATCCAGTGACAGTGGCACATTTGTTATGAATACACATTGCCATTTAGAAAGTGGTCAAATGTAACATATGGTATATTTGGGATTACAGCAATGTACAGATTCTACTACTTTTGTTGGGTTGAGTCCCAAGCGGGATTCGAACCCACACCCTCAGAGTCAGGCATCTAGTCGCCAGCACACAAAGTGATCCGCCTAACCCGCTCAGCCACCGCGACTTCCACGGCGACCGGATTGTGAAATTGTAAGTATTTTGTAGCAGAGTAACCCAATCTGGAAAATCAGGAGTTCAGGCCCGACAACAGGACTCAGGTGACTTTAAAGATGGAGGTTTAATCGACATGGATTTTCAGCAATACATCACCAGGCGCATATTTACAATATGTACAATAACAGGTATCTAGAGCTGAGGTACGCTATGACTGGTGGGGAGTCACCGAGCTGGAGTCAGCCTTGCCAGTAAATACATGGTGCATTTATACTTGATTTCTAGAGGAACGGTCACAACCCTCTTGACCGTGTGTTTCCGTCTATTCCTATTGTTCTCGTGGTAAACATTTTGTTTGTCTCCACAGTGTCTCCTTCTCGGACACTACGATCTACTGATCAGTTACTTCTTAAAGTACCCCAAACCCGCCTAAAAAAATATCATTTGCTTACATGGCCCCGACTCTGTGGAACGATCTTCCCTTGGGAATAAAGAAATCCTAATCATTGGCAATC